TTTATGATATTCAGCTATGTTCACTTTGCCAACCACATTTCGTATAAACTAAAGCCACCTTGAATTCAAAGACCTGGTTTTATTCATTTCAGAGCTTCCCAGGTTACCTATCACACACTGCACCCAGGAGGTCATCTGTAACAGTTTGTTAAATAAAATGTGCACCTTTTCGGCAGTTTCTTTCAACCCCTTCACCAAGAAATAAATGTCCATTGTGCCAAGCGACTACAGGGAAGAGTGATTTTCAAAGTAGCTGGCCAGCGGCACTCTGGCCTCCACCACCAAGGTGGGCTCTGGTCGGGGCAGGGGTCTGGGCTGGTCTTAGACCTCCCCTGCTGAATCAGAGACCCACTTCCATCCAGAGCTGGAAGGGAGGACGAGTAAGTGGATTGGAACCGAGGGAGTAAGGGGCAAGGACTTAGAGCCTGGCTGGTGGGGATATTTTGCCAGCTGCCGTGGGCATGCTGTCACAGATGAGCTGAATACCGATACCCACAGGATGTGAGGCAGACCCGCCGCACGTTGCTTTAACATCGTGAACATTAGTGTCGACAACAAGAAACGTGGCCCGGATTCTACCCTACTTATAAAAGGTTTCCTTGAAAAAATAGTTGTTTAGTTAAAGATTTTATTTCTTTTTAGAGAGGGGAACGGAGGGAAAAGGAGAGGGAAATATCCATGTGTGGTTGCCTCTCGCACGCCCCCTACTGGCGACCTGGCCCGCAACGCAGGCACATGCCCTGCTGGTTCACAGCTGGCACTCAATCCATTGAGCTACACCAGCCAAGGCTGAAAAATCTGTCTAGAAACTTGCATTGAATTTCTACAGGGCACTGAGTGCCGGGGACAAATCCAGGTGCAGAGGATGCAGCAGTGAACAAAGCACCTTAAGAGTCCTCTGTCACAGGTGAGGTCACAGAGGAAATGATTAGTACAAAATCTAAAGAGGAATGGAAACCAGCAGGCAGAGAAAGGTGTGAGGCATTTGCTTACCTGGAGCAGGCACCGCTAATCATGCCTGAGCATCTAGAAAGGAGAGTAAACTCAGCATTTTAAATTACATATAGTGGGGCGATGGTGGTATAACGTTAGTGCACAACTCCGTAACACATCGCCTGTATATTGCACTGTGTGCCCACCGCCCATAGTCAAGTCTCCTTCTGTCTCCGTATCTTTGACTCCCTTTACCCTCCTCCGACCCCCACCCCATCCCTCTGGTCACCCCCATACTGTTGTCCGTGTCTATGAATTTTTGCTGGTTTTTCTTGCTCGTTCATTTGTTGCTTTCGATTTAATATCCCACATGTGAGTGGAAACATATGGTTCTTAACTTTTCCTGTCTGACCTATTTCGCTTAGCGTGGTATCCTCAAGGTCCATCCGTGTCGTCCCAAACGGCACTATTTCATCTTTTCTTGCAGCTGAGTACCATTCCACAGTGTATGCTTTATCCATCTGCTCTATCCAGACTTCTATCCAAGCCCACTTGGGTTGTTTCCATATCTTGGCCACCGTGAAGAATGTTGCAATGAGCATAGGGGTGGGGCTTCTCTATTAGCCCCGCCCTCTCCTACAATTTCAGTAGGTGCCCTTCCGGCCCTGAGTGAAGGCTCTCACCCCTTAGGGGAGATGGGTCTCAGCAGAGCCTGTTCTTTTTATCCTCAATGAGATCCACAGGAGCCCTGGGTGGCTGCCATTATCCCGCCGAGAGCACTGTCCCCTGTGAGCTTTCTCTAGACAGCCCCTGACCTCCCCTGTGGGCAGCTGGTAAATTTCTGGAGGGAAAGCCCAGGAGGCCAGGGCAGGCTTCATGCATTCCCACCAGCCAACAGTCAGCCTCAGCAGTTTGTTCAAAATGCCTCGTTTGTTCCGCCGGGGTTTAGGCGCGTCTGTCCCCGCACAGGATATGCTCAAGGCCACTTTCTCTTCACTGGCTCCTGTCTTGCTTCAGATCTTGGGCTAATTATTTCCTCTGTGACCTCATCTTTCTAACAGATTCCAAAAAAATGATTGATATGAAGTTTTTCGAGCTTTCTTGGGTTACGTAGGAAGAGCAATCATACCATTTTCAGCTCTCTGTGTTTCCAGCTTGAACCTGGAAAACTGAAAATATCAGCGATTCCAGTGGTACCGAAGACAACTTATTAAGTCCAACATTTCTTACTGTTACCTGATCCCAAGAGACAAAATATTTGTTTGGTAAAGGGCAGGCTCAGCTTTCCCATTCATCTTGTGCCAAATATTACATCGAAAAAACTGTTCACTTAATTGTTGAAAAATACTGCCTACTTAAGGCAATCAGAAATATCGTGGGGCAGCGAACAAAGAAGGTTTCAGTTCCATTTTCTGAATATACTCATCATGGCTTAGCAGACTCTAAGTCTTTTTAATAGATTCCAAGTGGCTGAGTAAGTGCAAGCATTTAAGTCGTCCTTTTCCCCCTAGTCCTCTGGCACATGTTGAGCTAACAGAAAAGCATGTTCCTGTGACTGGTTAAGAATTATGTTTCTAATTAGGAGGAAGCAAGGCTGCGAAGGATTCATGAGTCCAGCATGCACGCTTATCAGATCTCATCAGAATTGCCCCACTGCACTGGGTCTTCATACAGAATTAGAACGAAATTCTCCTGAGAAAATGTTTTTATTGCAAGGTTGCAAGTATCATTTTTTTTTTGTTCCATTTTCTCCACGGGGCGATGCACGCATAGTAAATAATTCAATAATAATCTGTTTTGTAAAGTGTTATGCATCCACTTCTCAACCCTCGTCTCCCTGGCTCATTCTGAGTGGCCTGGTATTTGCTACACATACACACACATGCATGGGGTCACTTCCTGAATGAATGAGATTGAATGAGATGGTCCTGAGTTATTTCTTTTTTTTTAAGATTTTATTTATTTATTTTTAGAGAAAGGGAGGGAGAAAGAGGGGGAGAGACACATCACTGTGTGGTTGCCTCTTGTGCGCCCCCTACTGGGGACCTGGCCAGCAACCCAGGTGTGTGCCCTGACTGGGAATCAAACTGGCGACCCTTTGGTTCACAGGCCTGCACTCAATCCACTGAGCTACACCAGCCAGGGCTGTTCTGAGTTATTTCTCTTCCCTAGGGTCCAAGTCTTACGTTGTTTTCTTTGACCCAAGTTCCTTGTCCTGTGTTAGACACGCCTCATCAGGATGACCCCCTAGGTCCACTGAGTGCACGAGCTACTACGTGGCGTTGAAATTGCACCTTGAGCTAAAAGCAAAGATATGCCTTAAAAATCTTTGCTTTGGTGGCCCATTTCCTTGGGTTACATGTGCAACTTGGGTATAGGTTTCAATGCAAGATGGGATCGTAGCTGTCCCTTGGTGAAAGGAAATGCCCCCCAATTCAGGGACGGTCCTATGCCTCTGGGTGTCTTGCTGCCACGATTCTTGATGCCTCTCCATGGTTACTGTCTCCATGGCCAAGTTACCTGAACTTGAATTTCTGGGAGGCTTTGAAGATTCTAAACAGAAGAGAGAATAATCTTTGTCTTGGAAGCTGGATCTTCCTTTGCGCTTGCCCATTACTTCTGACTTGTGGCTACTGTTTATGATACGGGCTAATATCACTGAGGAGTTTTTCAATCGAATATATTGGGGTGATATTGGTTAATAAAATTATATAGGTTTCGAGTGTACAATTCTATATCTGTGTATTGTATTGTGTGTTCACCATCCCAAGTCGAATCTTCTTCCATCAGCATTTATCTCCCCTTTACCCACACCTTCCTCCCCCACCCCTTCCCTCTGGTCATTACCATGCCTGTTGCCCATGTTCCCGAGTCTTTCTTTTTTTCCTTTGCTTAATCCCTTCACCCTTCTGGCCTCGCCCCCAGCCCTCCCCCCTTTGGCAGCCACCAGTGTGTTCTCTGTGTCCGTGAGTCTGTTTCTGTTTTGTCCACTAGTTTATTCTGTTCATCGGATCACACCTATGAGTGAAATCATTCGGTGCTTGTCTTTCTCCGACTGGCTTATTTCACTTCCATGTTCAGCCCTAATTCTTAGCCTGCCTGTCTCTTAGTGCCTTTTCCACTCCGCAGCCAGAGTCATCTGTCTCCTTCACACCTGCGTGTGTATGCCACCCTCTCCAGGGTCTCCTCTGCTCTCTCCTACCTGGGCGACCTTGAGCTGATTCCTCAGCTTCGCTGGGGCTCCGTTCTCTCCTCTGCAAAATGGGGCCGAGAGTCTCTGCACAACTGCCCAAGCAGGGATCCTGCTGCTACAGCCCCTGAATGACCGATGTCCGCTGCTTAAGCCCACCAGCAATTCCCCCTGGTAACTACCCCAAGGCCACCTGCTGGGTGATGCTGGGAGTTCCCAGGACACCTGTCTCACCTGCCTGCCAGCTGCAGGAGCCCATCTTCAGCCTTCCCTTCTACCTTCATGCCCATCAGTAAGTGACTGTCCCTCTGCACCCACCCCTGGGGCCTGGGTCACAGCTGTGCCCTTTGGCTGCTCCTGGGGGGTCGCCCCCAGGGTGCTGAATAAAGCAGACCTGGGTGGGGGGTCTGATGCTCCCCAGCACATACTGTTTCTTTCTCTCTCTTCCTCTCTCTCTAAAATAGCAATGAAAAAAAGAAAAGAAAAAAAGTCCTTGGGTGAGTATAACAAAAAAAAAAAAAAAAAAACAAGGACAGAAAAATTTGTTTTTACAGGGAGGTGGAAAATTTTCTTTTTTCAAGTAGTGAAATGAAACACCCTATACAGTCAGGCTGCTGTTTTCTGGCAACGCCTAATGTAACTAAGCCAACCCAGTATTCACTACACTTTCAAAAATGAAAACGAAATTGTGCTGATTTGCCACAAAGCAAGCCTTTGTTTTCCTGATGCAGCTATTTCTCAGGACAACACAGAAACGTTTGCCTTACCACATTGTTTGGTGATTGTTTGGCTTTTTAAAAGGGGCCGTGATCATCGATTAAAAGCTCCCGGAGCACTGAGTCAGCAAAGACAAGTTTTGAAAACAGTCGTAACTAGAAAGTGAGCAGCAGTGTTGACCCAAGGACACGGAAGCTTCTACTCAGGGTGAGTTTGGACTCCTGGTTTGTTACATCCCATGGGAAGGGCTGTGGAAAATCAAGTTCATCCAATGAACCAAGAGAGGTCCAAGTCCTAGGGCGGATGAGGTGCTCCACTCACAGGCTGGATGGAGCCTGACTGGTGATTTCTTGCACAAGAACGCCCCCTGGAAAGGAGGTACTAGCCCTGGCTCGTGTGGCTCAGTGGATTGTGTACAGGCCTGCAAACCAAAGGGTTGCTGATGTGATTCCCAGTCAGGGCACATGCCTGGGTCGAGGGCCAGGTCCCCAGTAGGGGGCCATGTAAGAAACAACCACACATTGATGTTTTTCTCCCTCTCTCCCTAACCCCATCGGGATATCTGTCTGCCCATTGGGTTGGCTTTTCTGTGTTTAGATCTATTCTGTGGAAACTGAAACTCGTTATAAGAGTCACGGAGTGAGTGTGAAGGAGAAATAAAATATGAGGTCAAAAGTTTGCACCTGAGTCTGGGTGCTGGGTGGCTCAGCATGGAACTGAGTTGGTTGGAGCACCAGCCCATGCAACCAAAAGGTTGTGGGTTTGGTCCCTGGTTGAGGCCCAAAGGGGAAGCAACCAATCGATGTCTCTCTCTCTCCACCCATCTCTCTCAAATCATTAAATATATTCTCAGATAAGGATTAAAAAAAAAAAAAACAGAGCGTGCACCTGCGTGGGAAGCCGATTTCTCTAGTCTGTATTTGTTTCTCCCTTTGTCTTTTGATGGCCTTCCAGGGCCTCCCCCGCCCCCCCCCAGCCCCAGCGGCTCCCAGAAGAAAAAAGACCTCTCCCATAAGAATACAAAACTCAGGATCCTTGTCTGTTCTATCACAGGCAAAACCACGTGAGAGAGTGTGACTAACCACGAGTCGTGACGAATAAGGAATACACGTCAGGCCTCTTCCCTGGTCCCTGGCACAGAGCCCCCTACCGGCGGCGTCCACCACCTGCAGCCCAACACAAAATTGTAAGTTTACTTAAAACATTGTGGTATTTTTCGTGAGTATGTGTCACAATATGTTTAATGCATGGCGCAAGACAACTTGTCTTCCAAAAGGTTGGACACCCCTGTGAGTGAAACCCCTGTGATTTCCGGGTCATGGGGCGGCCACGGTGCCTTGCGAAGCCCTCCTAAATCCCTCGGAATGTTCTGGCTGATAGGAGTGTCTCCCATTCTATTGCGGGGACCCTTGTGGGCTCCCCGGGGGGGGGGGGGGGGGGGGGGGCTCAGGATGGGGGCTGGTTGCCAGAAAGACAGAACCATGAGGAGAAGTTCGCAGTTTTCACCCTCCACCCCCACTCTTTGGAAAGAGGGTAGGAGGAGATTGATTAGCAACAGGTCATTCCTACATGGTGAAGGCTCCATAAATGTCCCTAAACGACAGCATGTCGGCGGTGCTCCAGTCGGGGGTGCTGGGAGGGGGTGCACCCCAACTGCAGGGGAGCAGAAGACCCGGTGCTAAGTGCTCTCCAGGATGTCACTCTGTGCACCTCTCCTTCTGACTGTCCATCCATGTCCTCTATACTGTCTGTTATAATAAACCAGTAAACGCAAGGAAAAGTCTCCCTGAGTTTTGCGAGCCATAATGTTACCAGGCAGGGGCCCAGCCCTGAGTGGGGCCGCCTGAGGCCAGCTGTAGTGAGTGGGTTCTTGACTTCGTGTGGCAAAGATTTCACAACATGAGTCCCGGTGACTGTGAGTGTCCGTTTATTGGGGACAGTGACACAGGAAGGGGCTTAGCATGGAAGAAGCAACAGGAGGGCCCAGGCTGGGCTGCCTTCGCTCGCTGGGAAGTCAGAGAAGAGGGGGCCTTGGGGACAGGTTCAGGGGGTCAGCCTGGGACAAGATGCTAATACCCAGTGCCTTCGAGTGTAGGAGACACATGCCTGTGAGGAAAGCAGTGGGGGCAGGAGAGGGGGAAGAGTATGGGGGCTGCTCCCACAGGGAGAGCACTGGGGTTGGGCCCTTGGTCTTGAGTTTTTCTCTCTCTGGCAGGCAGGAGTTTCAGGGACGGTCTCAGGGGGCAGTTTCAGAAGAATGCGCATCGGTTTCCAGGTGTGTCCCTGAGGGTTCTGGTTTTCACTGATTGGTCCGTGACTGAGCGGGTCTTTAGCCCTTGCAGGGGGTCCTGGCCCCGCCCACCCAGTTCTGCTGCTTTTCCAGTCCTGGGACTGAAGTGCAATTCAGGCTCAGCTGTCCTCTCTAGTCAGGTGACCTCTGGAATCTTGCTGTAAGTTGCTCAGCCAGTGTGTTTGGCTGTCTCAGTTTCCCTATCCCACTTGCCATGGAATTTTCCTAGCTCCTAGGTCCTCACTGTCCTGCTTCATTATAACGAATGATCAAACCTAGGGAGGGGTGGTGGAAATCTTCAGTTTAGAGCCAGTGGATCAGAAGCACAGGTGACATCGTGAGCTTTGTGACTGGCATCTGAAGACCGACTAAGTTCTGGGAGGCCAGGCCCCAGACCTGTGAAGTTGGCGCTCACTCCTGGTACTTAGGGCCAGCACCCAATTGCAGGACCCAAAGCTGGGTCTGCAGAGTTGGTAGGTTGGCTGGTGTGGGAACCGCCCCACAACACACACACATTTGGTGTCAGAGGTGTGGTAAGTGAAGGAAGTGTGTTTTTTCCTACAACTGTAACAAATTAGGCAAAGGTGAAATACTGTCATCTGTGAGGTGAAGCTTGGGCACATTGTGCTAAGCAAAAAAAGTCAGACAGAAAAGGGTAAGAATCACATGATTTCACTCAGAAGTGAGATATAGGACCGAAAGTAACACATGACCAAATAAGAAAAACAAGCAAAAACTCACAGATACAGACAATGGTATGGCGGTGACCACCGGGAAGTGGGAAGGGAATACTAGAAGGTAAATATGGTAAACACGGTGATGGAAGATGTGACTTTGGGCGGTGGGCACACAACGCAATAGGCAGACCGTGGAAGCATGGAATTATACATTTGAAAACTATGTAATTTTATTAACCGATGTCACCCCAATACATTTAATTTTCAGAAAAAGTCATAGGGGAAAGACATTAAGCAACGATGTATAAAAGCTGGGCTATGCTGTTATTACACAGCCTCAGCTTCTCTGCTGATACAGGAACTAGAAGTCATCATTGTCCCCAGAAATAACCTTTTCTCTCAAAGAAGCCATAGCCATATTGCTGGAGCGAGGCAAGTATCAGCGGTGGCTTCATTTGTAGAACTTCTCTCACAGTTGTCATTGTCACCTTTGGAAATAGACGCCTTTGTGTGAGTCAGCTGTTCCGACTTGGCTCTCGATTTGCTGCGCCTTAGTAATAGTCCAGATGGTGGCTGGGCGGGACCTCGGGCCGGTCAAGTGATGTCTCTCTCATCCCTTCTGACGAATCCTGGGGCCGCCCGAGACTTCGAATGTGCTGAGTTTTCTTAGATAAGCAACTCTGTGTCCAGATTACATGACTAAGTGTTTTGTTTTGTTTTGTTTTTTTAATTTAACCTTCCCGGGGAAAATAAAACACGACAGACTAAACTCTTCAAGAAAATACGATGGTTTTTACCGACACTAAATTGCAGAGCAGGCTTATAATATTTATTCCTCTGGGTTTACAATTCTTCATTTTACACTTAGAGCAAAAGAGGAAAGAGGTCACTTAAGTCTTATAATTACAATCTCTGCCAGGTTAAAAAAAAATCTAGATCATTGCAAGATTCAGCCATGGATATAAGTAGCAAATTGATATACAGGGTCCTGCTTGAGTGTGTTTGGTAGGGTGATAATAAGGCTGTACTAATTTATACTTTTAATTTGAACATTTCACCTACAACACCCTATGGTGTGCTCGAGTGTGATATTATGTTACAGAATGACATGCTCATGATTTTGTAACAGAAGAGTGTGTAATAATGAGGGGCGTTATTTGTGCCTGGCCGTGCATTAACTTGCCATAAAAAAAAAAAAATAGTGCCTGTTCTGTGATCTGTATACATACATATTATAGCTTGAATAAGATTCGTAAAACACAGTCTTGAAAAATGGCCATCAAGATGCTCAGACCTGAGATAGTCTAAAGTCATTTAGGCCAAGACACATAGTGATATTTTTAATCTTCTTAGTCAAAGGAAAGGTTGTGAACCCTACTGGTCTGCTACTCGCCAGATGTTCTATTTTCTATGTTCCCCAATATGAGACTTTCCCCTCCTGGCATCTGTCTGTTCTGTTTAATGGGAATTCCCTCTTACTCTCTCAGTGGGAGGACGGAGGGAGGGTGGGGGGCCACATCCGTATCTCCAGGGTCCCGGTCACCTGGCTCTGCCCAGGCCACAGCCGGTATTTCCCAACCTCATCACCAGAGGGACTGTGTTTTTGCCAACACATGCGTGACCACATGTCTGACTGTTCTGTCTCTTGACCACAGACCCTGTGATCACAGCACCACGGACTGAAGCCCTTGAATCCCTAACCCCCAACCCGGCATGTGGAGCATGGAGCAAGGATGTACGTGGGTTTGCTAAGTGGCTTGAAAAAAATTTTTTTAATTAAAAAAAAAAAGTAATATGGGGTCTTAGTGACTATAAGGGGGCAGCAAGGGTTACAAAGTTTTCAAATATATAGGCTGATGTGATTTCCACAGAAATACAAGGTAGCATTAAACTGCCAATTTTCTGTTTTTGTCTGTGTGAAGATGTTTTTTTTGAAAAAAAAAACAAACTATTTTACTTGCCGCTGGTATAATATATATGTTTTGTATCCTCACCTGAGGACATTTTTCATCGCTTTTAGAGAGAGAAGAAGGGGATAAGAGACAGAGAGAGAGGAACATCGGTGTCAGACAGCAACATCGATTGGTTGCTTCCCACACATGCCCCGACCAGGGATCAAACCCACGACCTTTCGGTGCGTAGGACGTTGCTCCAACCAACTGAGCCACATCCACACTGGCCAGGGCCCTGCTGATATAATATTTACACAAAGACACACACAGACCAAAATTCATTTCAGGATTTTGGAAAGCACTGTGTATTTTCCTTGTTTTTTTCTATTAGTTCTTGAAGGCTATAGATATGGGGAAATGTCTGTGTTTGTTGTCTACCATTGCCATAAGAAATCACTGTAAATGTAGTCTCTTACTACCGCACAAACCTGTTGTCATCTAGGTCTGTTAGGGGAGAAGTTCAAAACCATCTCCCGGGGCTAAGATCAAGGGGGCGGATTTCCTTCTTTCCCAGCTGCCTGGGGCCACAGCCGTTCCTTGGCTGCTTCTCCTTTCTTTCACTACAAAGCCAGCAACACAGCACCCCGGTGACTCTTGTGTGTTCACAGCTCTCTGATGAGCAGGGAGAAATTCTCTCTCTTTTTTTTTAAAGATTTTATTTATTTTTAGAGAGAGGGGAAAGGAGAGAAACATCAATCAAATGGCTCTGGCATGCACCCAGTTGGAGACCTGGCCTGCAACCCATGCATATGCCCTGACTGGGAATCAAACCTGTGACCTTTTGGTTCACAGGCTGGAGCTCAATCCACTGAGCCACACCAGCCAGGGTGAAACTCTCTTCTTTTAAGAACTCCTGTGATTAGATTGGGTGCCCCAGATAATTTCCCTACCTTCCATCTTTAACTTCATCACACCTGCACAGCGCCTCTGCCCTGGAAGGTGACACAGTCTCGGGTTGTGGGCATTAGCACGCAGATATCTCTGCGGGGCACCCGATTGAATCAACCCCAATTTTCTTTCTCCTGGGCCCCATGGTTTGCAATGCCGCCTACCCGTCCCCATCAACCAGCCCCACTTGCGCAGCTGGCCTGTTACACGGGGTCAGGGTTAGTGCGGGGGTCCTTGGCAATCCGTTTTTGTTCCACTAGGCCCTCGGATTGCCAGGATGTTTGTGGTGAGACCAGATTCAAGGTTTAGACCATCGTCACTCCTTGCTGGTGTGGTTGTGGGCAAGTGCCAACCAACACAGCGCCACACCGAGGCGAGCGCGCTTGCGCAGCTTTGGAGGCGTGGCCCTCATAGTAAAGAGACACACCCTGGGTTGTGGGTAAGGTCCCCAGTCCCACGCAAGAAAAGGGCAACCGACCCAGGTTTCTGCCCCTCTCTTTCCCCCTCCTTTTCCCTCTCTCTAAGATCAATAAAAAGAAAAAAATTAAAAAGAGAGAGAGACAGCCTCTGGGTCTTAAATTCAACCTTTGTGTTCGTTCTTCCTTCATTTAAAACTCTTGTCTTCCTTTTTGGTACATTGTTCTCCCTTCGATTACGATTATCCAGCAGGGACAATTTATTTCACTTCCTTAATTATAAAAGCATGCCTTCCAGATTTTAATGGCTTTTAGAAAGCAGATGTGTCCTGTAAAAAAAATATATCACGGGCCTGTACATTGTGCCGAAATGCAATTCTGTGCATTCTGAGATACACACTTCTGTACAAACCATAGCATATCAATATCAACCTTGCATTGCAATAACTGCATGATTTTTCTGTTGTGTTTTATTATTCCATTTATTAAAGAAAAAGGTACTGAATGTACCCTGTGAGATGTTGCGGGTTTTTATTTAATTGCAGCTCTGCAAAGACTCGGTTGCATATTCATAACCGCTGGCGACACGGTGCCAAGTGCCGAAACAATTACTCAGTGAGTTCTCTGCGTGACACTTCAGGGGAACTGATAAAAGTGCTGAAGCCGGTTCTATTTTAAGATCCTTGACTGCTGATTGTTAGAACCGCACAAAGGGACACTGCACAGCTAGAGAAAGGCTCACCAAGAGCAGAGACAAAGCGTGTGTGATCAGTGAGAACGAAAATTAATGCAGAGTGTGGCGCACACTGTATTTCTCAGATATTAACCAAATAATTAAAGTCATTCTAGTTCTAGAACAAAAGCTCCATTTATGTTTCAGAAGTTAAGTGTTTGTACTTGTTTTTTTTTAATTTTTCAGTTACCGTTGACATTTAATATTATTTTGTCTTCATTTCAGGTGTACAACACAGTGGTTAGGTAATCATACACTATTTATTCAATTACTTTGTTTTTAAGGTTCCACACATAGCTGAAGTCATACAGGATTTGTACTTCTTTTTTTAAAGATTTTACTTATTTTTAGACAGAACAGAAGGGGGGAGGAAGAGAAGGAGAGAAACATCAGTGTGTGGTTGCCTCTCATGCACCCCTTGCTGGGGACCTGGTCCGCAACCCAGGCATGTGCTGTGACTGGGAATCAAACCAGCCACCCTTTGGTTCACAAGCCAGTGCTCAATCCACTGAGCCAGGGCTGTACTTCTTTCTTTTTTTAAAAATATATGTTATTGATTATGTTATTACAGTTGTCCCATTTCCCCCCTTAATTTCCCTCCACCCTGCACACCCTCTCCCTCCCACATTCCCCCTCTTCGGTTCATGTCCATGTGTTACAAGTTCTTTAGCTTCTACATTTCCCATACTATTCTTGCCCTCCCCCCTGTCTATTTTCTACTTACTGTCTATGCTACTTATTCTCTGTACCTTCCCCCCCTCCTCCCACTCCCCTGTTGCTAACCCTCCATGTGATCTCCATTTCTATGGTTCTGTTCCTGTTCTAGTTGTTTCCTTAGTTTTTTGTTTTGTTTTGTTTTGGTTTTTTAGTGTGGCTGTTGGTAATTGGGAGTTTGCTGTCATTTTAGTATACATGTTTTTTATCTTCTTCTTAGGTAAATTCCTTTAACATTTCATAACATAATGGCTTGGTGATGATGAACTCCTTCAACTTGACCTTATCTGAAAAGCACTTTATCTGTCCTTTCATTCTAAATGAAAGCTTTGCTGGATAGAGCAATCTTGGATGTAGGTCCTTGTCTTTCATGACTTGGAATACTTCTTTCCAGCCCCTTCTTGCCTGTAAGGTCTCTTGTAAGAAATCAGCTGACAGTCTGATAGGAACTCCTTTGTAGGTGACTGTCCCCTTATCTCTTGCTGCTTCTAGGATTCTCTCCTTCATTTTAATCTTAGGTAATGTAATTATGATGTGCCTTGGTGTGTTCCTTCTTGGGTCCAACTTCTTTGGGACTCTCTGAGCTTCCTGAATTTCCTGGAAGTCTATTTCCTTTGCCAGATTGGGGAAATTCTCCTTTATTATTTGTTCAAATAATGTTTCCACTTGTTGCTGTTCCTCTTCCCCTTCTGGTACCCCTATAATTCGGATGTTGGAGCGTTTAAAGATGTCCTGGAGGTTCCTAAGCCTCTCCTCGTTATTTTGAATTCTCGTTTCTTCATTCTGTTCTGGTTGAATGTTTCTTTCTTCCTTCTGGTCCACTCCATTGATTTGAGTCCCAGTTTTCTTCCCATCACTATTGGTTCCCTGTGCATTTCCCTTCATTTCAATTAGTTTAGCCTTCATTTGTTCCTCTAATTTGTGACTAAAATCAACCAATTCTGTGAGTATCCTGATCACCAGTGTTTTGAACTGTGAATCTGATAGGTTGGCTATCTCTTGGTCGCTTAGCAGTATTAACTCTGGGGCTTCGAGCTGTTTTTCTGTGTCAGCCATAATGTTTTGGTCTGTTCCCACCTATTACATGAGGGGCAGAGCCTTAGGTGTTCACCAGGGTGGGGCAACCCAGTCTCTGGGTTGTGATGCTGTATATGGGGGCAGGGTCCGAGAGGAAAAAAAAATGGTGCTTTGCTCTGCTCTCTGTTCCATCTCAGTTTCTTCTGCCACTTCCCCAAAGCAAACTGGGCCTCCTGGTGCTGATTCCCAGGTGGGTGGGCTTGTGTGCATTCTAGGACCCTGTGGGTCTCTCCAACAAACTTTCCTGTGAGGGTGGGAGTCTCTCCCTGCACCTCAACCCCCACAGTGTTTTCAATCGGTGTTTTGAGGCTTTATTTCCTGGCACTAGGACCCTGGGTTGCTTGATCTGTCTGGCTCCCCAGTTATCTGCACGCAAATGTGGGACCGCTGCCTGGTCAGCCAGCCACCTTGCACTCAGTACCCTGCTTCTCAATCACTGCCTTGCTGGGTCTGCCCGGTGCCGCCTTGCGCACCTGGGGTGCCTTGCGCTCCTGGTGTCACGGCTTCCTGTGCTGCAACCCCTCTCCACTCGTCAGCTGGACTCCATCCCGCCTACTGGTCTAAATGAATGTGTCATTTAGATGTGTTAACTCCTTGGTTGTCAGACTTCCATACGGTTCAATTTTCTCTCAGTTTTGGTTGTTACTTTGTTTCTAAATTGTTGTTGTTCTTATTTTGGTTGTTCGAGGAGACACAGTGTGTCTACCTATTCCTCCATCTTGGCTGGAAGTCTATACTTATTTCTTGATAGTTAATCTATAACCCCTAAAGACTTATCTGTTAAATAATGTAGAAAATACAAAAGTCCTTCATGTTCCAAATGTTATTCCAACTGATCAAAAAATGATGAACAGCAAAAAAATGATTCACTGCCTTTTACAAACCTTTTACAAAGGGAGAAATGGTGGCAGACAGGTCTAAATGTCTTCTCCAACAAATCTCATGTTTCCATGTATTTCCCTGTGCTTTT